TCCCCTGGTCATCCTGTTCCTCCAGCTTCTTCCACTCCTGCTCCTGTTGCTGTTGTTCCTCCTTATCCTCCTCGTTCCTCCTCCTTCTCCTCTTCCTCATGTCCATTCTCCTTCTCATCCGTCACCTCCTTCCCCAATGCACGCAGCTCCCCCTTTCCGATTGCGCATGATCACGCGATGGGATCCTTCTTGCAGTTCCAGGCCCGTCACGACACACGTCGGCCGATCTATCACACAGCGCACTGGGAAGCGATGGGTGGGAGGGGTACGGAGGGAGGAAGGGGGGGGGAGGGATTTGGATTGCGCTCTGATTCGCCGAGGAGACGGTCAGCTTAGTGCGGCACTCACTAGCTGCTGCAACAGTGCGTACATGTAGCACGGGCGCCAAGGTTTGGTGAATCTCCCCGCCCCCGTCCTGACCTACCACCCCCCCCCTTCGTCGTCTGAAGGCGCTCAGGGCGCATCACAACGCCGCAGGAGGAGGGAGGAGGCAAGAGGAGGCATATCAAAGAGGGGAGCAGGTGAGATGGCCTGCGAAGGGCCGAAAGCCAGCCTAGGGGGCTGGCGCAAGGCAGGGGCCTGCGGGAGTGCACGATATTCGCACGCTCGACCTGCGGCCCGTGCCTGCACCAACGCCGCAGTGCCACCCTCGTCCCCACCAACAGACCTAAACTCACTCTTAGTCCCATCCCGTCAGCGTCCCTTCCGAATCACTCCTCTCTCAAATCAAGTGGCCGGCACCGGGTCGAACAAAGAAACGACGACCGCGTAGTGGCTCTTGGCCACTCGGGAGGGGGAGGGGAGGGAGGAAGGGAGGGAAACCAAATAAAGATAAAGCCGAGAAGGAAGAGTGGGACTGGGACGTACATCTCAAACCTCCAGCCTCGGAAGGATGGCAGCAACGAGCGGAAGGGAAGAGGCTGGGACGCATACCGATCATCTCCGGAACGCTGCGTCCCTTGTAAATACTGGCTGCACAATTTCAAGTAGGCAGGCACAGGGGGATGATGGTAGATGAAACCGAGAAGAGAGAGTGAGATGGGACATATATCCTAAACTTCCAATCTCGGAGCAGCAGAAAACGAGCGGGGTCAAGGCTGGGACACATCTGACTGGCAGCCGCCATCTTCTGCACGTAGTAGCCAAAGAGTAACGACTACGTAGCCAGGAATTCCAACACCATTCCCACACCGATCCTCCCACTGATCCTGATCCTCCCCTCCAATCCTCCCTCACTTCACAAACATAAACAGCAAGTGTGTAATTACATGTCGTGAAGCTCGGCGATAAAGTATGGCCGCGATAGTCACGCGGAATCAGTGCAAGCTGAGGCATCTTCGCGCACTCGCAGCGCACATAGAGATACACAATAGCACGATTATCCCAGCAGGCGCCTCAGAGAGCCTGGCAGACCGTGCGGGAAGAGCATGTCAGCGATCGCCATCATGGCAAGGCGGCCAAGGGGTGTCCCCGCGACCAGTACAGTGAAACCAGAGTCGCCGGTCGCCACAGGGACGTCCACGGACTGCTTCTGGGACAGCTCGCAGAACCCTCCGCGAACCATAATTCGCATGCAGCGCTCCAGCATGCCTCCGGGGTCCAGGGCGCGCGGGACATATAGCCTGGCAGCGCAGCGGTGGTCGCGGGATTGACGTAGTCCTTCATGGACGCGGGCATGGAACCACGGCCGTGCGAGGGCAGCGTCGGCCTCCGGCTCGCGAGGTGCTCCGTGCTGCCATCCGCCATGAGGCTGACTGGGTCCCAGTTCCTGGCGCCCTCCTCGCGCACCTTGGCCGGTGACGGCCTCGCAGCTGGTAGCGGGGTAGGGCCCGCAGGCAGCCGCGCCGCCTGCCCCTGGCCCCGAGAGGGGACGCTGGGGGGGAGGGGGCTGTCCATCTCCGCTCTCGCAGCTGGAAGCGGGGTGGGGCCCGTAGGCTGCCTCGCCGCCTCCCCCGGGCCCCGACAGGGGACGCTGGGGGGGAGGCGCTTGCCCACCTCCGCCGTGCGGCCATCGCGCCCAGCGGCCTCAGCACCGGCAGCGGCATCACGGTCTAGCGCCACGTGTGCCAATAACGGCGCAAGGCAGCCCCACGGTCTGGCATGGGGAGCAACATCGCCGCCGCCGTCAGCGTGCCCCCTGTCACGAGCAGCACGCCTGCATCGGAGACCACGGCGTACCGGTCCACGGCAGCCGGAAGGTCCTCCGGCGCGGGGCGAGTCCGCATGTGCACCCTTTGCGTCGCCATCGGCCGAAGGAGAGCAGACGTAGGCGGAGCAGCCTCAGTAGGATCCTGGGGCCGCCGCTGCTCAGCTGTCATGCCGAGCTCCACTGCGGCCGCGGTGCTCAGGGAGGAGTGGGAGTCGGCGCTGGCGTGGTTGTCGGCACTACCGTGGTGCTCGCTCTGCAACTCCACGCTGGTGATCAGGTCAGCCAGCAGCGCCTCGGGAGGATCAGCGCTGGCTGGACGTGCAGCACAGCGGGCACGAGGCAGAGCATGATCTGCATCATCACTAGCAGGAACACGTGCGGCAGGGACGGCCCGAAGGAGAGCACGAGTGCGAGCCACACCAGCGGCTGCAGCTTGGCGCTCCTC